TCTCTCTCTCTCTCTCTCTCTCTCTCTCTCTCTCTCTCTCTCTGTCTTTCTCTCTCTCTCTCCCTCCCTCTCTCTGTCTTTCTCTCTCTCTCTCCCTCCCTCTGCCCTTCTCTCCCACTTGCATTCTCTATCTCTCTAAAAACAAAACAAGAAAAGAAAAAATATTAAAGTGTTCACACATAGAGACATTGTGTGTAATCTGAAATAAGAAAGCATTTTATTTTAGTGAAAACTGTTCTATGACCACTTGGCATCAGTTTGCTCATATCAAATATTAAAGAATGTCTATATCAGAATAAGCCTACTTGTCAGAAATGATTTTTAACAAATCTTGGTCGTGCCTTATTGTATATATAAAATTAAACAGTGAAACTAAAGAGACTTTGTTAAGGTTTTTATGCAAATACATATGTAATATGTTTCAGACTGGATGACCGTGGACAAATTCCCACATTACTATATTTATAGACTGAATTGTCAAAAGCCCCATGGTTCTGTTTGTTTCTTCTTCATTTCAGAATGGGAAATGCTGAGGTTACCATATGGGCCACTAGTGAAAAGACCTGTTGCTATTTGGTGGCACACACCAAACTTAAAGACCATGTGGTATAAAGATTTAAAAAAGAGTTCTACATGGGACTAGATTTGGAAATTGGATTTGTTTTTTTTTTTTTATGAAATTTTTTAATGTTCATTTATTTTTGAGAGAGACTGAGCATGAGTGGCGTAGGGGCAGAGAGAACAGGGAGACACAGAATCCTAAGCAGGCTCCAGGCTCTGAGATGCTTAACCCCCTGAGCCACCCTGGCGCCCCTGGATTTGATTTATGAGCTAAATTTGGAGAATGCAGATAATAATGAAATTCCTTCTTAATTGACGTGATGGCAGCTGATTTCTATAAGAATGCCATTTTAGTTCCCCTAGAGTTCTATTTGACTGGAATTTCTGAGAAAGTCCCTTGCTTTGCTAAGGCTGTTAGCCATTTGAAAGTGGATGGTGGGTCTTACGGTGAAGAGAAGTTGTGACTGTAGTGTGGTGCTAATCGGTGGAGAGCCAGTGGTTTGGTGTGACCTGCTTGCCACTATCTGTGCTCAGTTAGGAGGCGCTTCCTCACTTCGCCCATGAGGACACCCTCCCTCCAGGTTCTTGTGCCGGCAAAATCCGTAGACTCTTACAGATACACCTAACACGTTAAAATCTACATACATTTTATCTTAGTCACACAAACCATTGTATTTGCTACAGACTTTAGAAATAATGTTTTGTTTTACTGTTCCATGATAAAATAATTTTGTTCAGTCTTTGTGTGTATCGGGATCCCTTCCCTGGGGATAATTTGTCTTCTTGAGGTAGTTGTTGTTCAAGTGACAGCTACTGGGGAATATGAGTGTCTTTGTAAGTTTAGATATAAGGTGACTCCTTTTTTTCCTGAAAAATATTTAGAGCATGAAACCTTCATCCGATATCTGCACATGTGATAATTCCTCATACTCTTATTTTTCATTTATGTTTAGAAGTACTTCTCAATTTTAAGAAGTCAGAGTCTTGAGTGAACTTACTGAATATCTAAGTTTTTAGTTAATGTG